CATGGATAAGGATCTTGGTCGCCTGAAGAGAGATGTAGTTGCCGAGGTGGACCATTTTATGTAAGTGGTAAAAAGCTGAGCGGATTTCATATAGAGCATAGATAGTTTGGGACATATGTGCATTCGACCGCAAGGAAGGTGGAAGGCGAACTACATGGACCTTGGTCTTTTTTCGTCTTGCATTTCCTATGTTCTTATGGATCAGAGCATGAATGCGAGGTTTAAAAGATTGTTGCGAATCGATCAAAACACTGAGGTTTCCCACAGACTCCACAAAGTGCATCCAAGTAGTTAGATGCTGTCAGTGCCTGAAGTTCCAGCTGTTCTTTCATTTTAATATTAAAGTAATTTGCCTCATGTAAAATACAGACAACTAATTGTTTTTATGCTGTACAGAACTTTGCGTCGCATATTAGTGTTTGTAACTCACCGACAATACAGAACATGGAAAAGTAAATCCTGCTTCTAATAGCAGGAGCAAGTCAAGTTTAAAGATCGCCTGAAACAGTGAGCATAGCTGTAGCAAGGTTTTAAGATGATGCCAAATCAGTTTTAAATGACATTAGGTAGTAACAACATTGCAAACACAAAGGACCAGTTTAAAAGTTGTGTAATTTTTAGAAGAGGCTGGATAGATTTTTTTTAAAATAAACTATTAGTCCGTGGAGTCCTGTAGCTCAGTGGTTAGAGCACTCGCTTTGCAAGTGAGAGACCTGAGTTCAATTCCAGGCAGGGCGAAACCTTGGGCAAGTTTCCTTACTCCACACGCCTAATAATAATCCCTCCAAAACAAAAACAATAATAAATTGGTCATTTTCAATCTACGACTGTTTGTGGGACATTGCTGTGCGCAATTGGCTGCCGCGTTCGCCCACAAATATACAGTCAATTCACTTTACAGTCTATTCTGTGAAGCGCTTTGGGACGTCCTCCCGACGTGAAAAGCGCTATATCAAATGCAAGGATTATTATTATTATTATTATTATTCTGAAGATCGTTTTGTGAATTAAAGGAGATTGGAAAACATTTTCTTTATACACACGATGAATAGAAAGTGGAATTCTCTTATCACAAATTTGTTGAAGCAGAGTCCCCAAATTCTTTTAAGAGAATCAGACCTATGCTCGAAGACGAGAAATAATAAAGGGCAAGAGCAGGAATGTGGGATTAGGTTAGGTAACTCTTAGGGAGAAAAACACCAGTGCAGACGTGATGGGCTAAATAATAATAAAAATAATAATAATCCATGCATTTGATATAGCACTTTTCACATCTTCTAGACGTCTCAAAGCGCTTCACAGAATATGCTGTAAAGTGAAGTGACTGTATATTTGTGGGCGAAACGCGACAGCCAATTGCGCATGGTTTCTGCTTTGCAACATTCTATGATTCTACATGATGCCGACAGTCTAAATAATCACAAACCTCTGCTGTCAGATTGTAATTGTTGATGCCCCAAATTAAGTCACTTCATGCAAGGATTATTATTATTTACTCTGGTGAACATGACGACAAATATTGATGGTTCCGAAACCAATGGAACAATCCTGAGTATCTATCTCTGCACCAAAATCTCATGCATATTATACTTTAGTGCTGCTGCTTTCTATATTGCAGCTCTAAAAGGCACACTGCAGTCAATTGTCCCACCAGTTTTAAAGAGAAATGACTTAATTGGAACAAGCTCTGACAGGCATTGAGAGCGGGAAGCAATTTAATATAAGGGTTTGGAAAAATAGTTGCTAGTGAATAAGAATTCCTGAGACAAAATTACAGGAATGATGGGCAAATTGACTTTTTTAAAAAAAACTTAAGCATAAAATAGTGAGATATAATTCATTTCTGAAATGGCTCTTCATGCTGACACAAAACTCTTTCCATCACGCCATTTCTTTAAATCTGATTGTCTGTAATGCAGCCTACCAGACACCATGAATTATTTGGTTTGAATCCCGAGCCAAATTGTAGTACCCCCAACTACTGCCTTGTCTGAGACCAGCTAACTCAACACAGACCAGAGATTCAATCCTGTGACTGTTTTGGTGTGTGTAGCACAGTGGTATAGGTCACTCAGGGAACTTTTAACAATTTTCCCCATTGCAGCACACAAATAAATGACAGAAACAGCAATCATATGGTCACAAATCACATTAATCTGAAATGTATCATTACTTTGTTCCCAATTCCACTATTAACAAGATCCAAATGATTCAAAACACTGCTGCCCATGTCCTCATCTGTACCATTCTCCGCAACTTTTTTTTATTTGATAATGATCTTACGTTCCTGCCCTCTGGTACTGAATTCTACAAATCAGCTTCCCACCAGGCAGTTGTAATATTTCATTGAAATATTTCCCTGAAAAAGTTCCCTGAGTGACCTATACCACTGTGCTACACACACCAAAAAAGTCACAGGATTGAATCTTTGGTCTGTGTTGAGTGTGTGTCATTTTACACCATTTGAACTTTTCCTACCATCTATTCTTTCCTTTGCAGAACAAGTCTTATTTTGGATTCCACTTCAACAGATTTAATCAGGAGCCAAATATTTTGTATTGTATGAGCAGATTTAAAAAATAATCCTCCCCCTCCCCGTTATGACTCATGTATTTCATGATGTGACATTTAGCAATCTTTTTCACAAATGCAATGCCAATGCATATCGTAAAAAAAAACTTAGGCTTGTTGCTCTTGAATAAAAGCACTATCTAAAGGAACAAGGCTAGCATTCCATTGAACGCAATCCAGTTTCAGTTTAGCAGCTTTTTGTTATTACTCGTTTTTACAACATGTAAGAAAAGTGCAATTTATTTCAAAAATGTCCCCCCAAATTTATAATAAGTAGCATACATAGCAAAACAAACTGGAGCTGGGAACTGAAGAGTGGCTTGTGCCGACGTGACAAGCAGATAACTTTAAGGTCCTTGTGAACAATTTTCATAGGCATGTAATGAACATTGTAATCAAACATCTGGCCAGCACAGTGCAACCTCTAATCTTGCCGGACATTGTGTTTAGTTTTTGTCTTTTAATTTTATATTAGACATTTTTGAGTGCTTAGAAAATTGTGGGTTTCGAGCAAGATTCATTACACTTCTAGGTGAGATTGTATTTTATTTGAATAAGTATCTTTAGGGTTTTCTATTGAACACCTGGTTACTTCTGAACGCGATGGAGTTGAACAATAAGACCACTGAATCAGCCTTTTTCGTAAATTCTAAGTTTGACAGGAGTCTAATTTTAATTTTAATGCTATGCAGGAAAACCTAATGCAATACAATCATATGTATAGGAGGAAATAAATACTTCTGTTCTGAGATTGAGAACTGAGAAATTAATTTTATACAATTGACTATAGCAATACGGACAAATACAATGAGGTTAGTAACTCACTGTTTTGGAATAGAGGACAGAAATAATTCTGCTGTATGTGCAACGATATCATGCGAACTATATGTGCTATTAATAAATAAGTAGTTCAGCTTTTAAGGAATCTTAAGGCAAGAGATGAAAGTTCATTGCTTTTTTCCAAATTTTCTCCTGCAAAGGAAAAAATGTACGGTGGAAAAAGTTCTCCAACTTTTGAGTAGGTTCAGCAGCAACTAACCAATTTTTTGGGGGGGTGGGGGAAGGCAACTGACTGTCTGATACATGTGGAAACCAATCACTATAGTAAGAGCATCCAACCAAGACAGAGTTCCACATTCATAGGGCTTTGGTTTGCAGATTAATGGAGCTGAATGGGAAGAGTCTCTTCTCTCAGTGACTGGTCTGCCCCTCTAAGACTTGCTGATGATGCAGGCTGGCTGGTCTGTCAACAGCAGTGCCCTGGAGTACTGTGGACCCTGTCTGGCTCAGGAACTGGACTACCAAGACTGCCACAGAGGATTAACTCAAATCCGGCATTCTGTTGTCAAGTATATCATCTTGAAGTCAGCTCAGCCCTAAGAAGACCTCACTTACTTCCTCCCAAAACTGTTGGTCAATTAATTTATGTTATCTGCAACGCTATAAAAGTTATCTTGCAGGTGTTTTGCCCACAAAATATACGGTCAATTCACTTTACAGTCTATTCTGTGAAGCGCTTTGAGACGTCGAGAAAACATGAAAAGCGCTATATCAAATGCAAGGATTATTATTATTATTATTTGTCTTGAGGCATTTCATGTATAACATTGGACATAATTAATGCTGCAGGACATTGTTAGACAATAACAAATGCAATAAAACAATAATGTTTGGCCACTGCAGAAGCAGCAGCTCGGAATTAAGTTTAAATTAAGATCCCCGATTTCACATTATTTTATGATACACTGTCTAAAAATCCTAACAGTTAGTACGATATGGTTCATTAGTTCTCCAGTTTCCTGTCTCCCAGCCCTCCCTGGTAAAAGTAAATAAATATTTCAACAATACGGTGCCAGCTAATAAATTAGTATTAAATTCACAATCGCAAATAGATGGGTCCCCATGGACCTACAGTACTGTACTGAATGGCATATTCTGCACATCTTCACATCTTGTAGCTATAATTCAGACACATTCATTTCCAGATGTTTCCTTTGGTTGTGAAATAAAAGGATGTTTGCATTTGCCAAAGCTAAACTCACACAACCTTTAATACTATAGGAATATCAGATTCTGGAATTGGATTTTACAGGGGAAAGCAATTTCTTTTTCTTTATGAAAAGGCTGTATCAGGAACACAGCTGTCAAATCTGATTTATTTGAAAAGCTGAAGGTGAAAAGCTGATTATTAGCAGAGCAGTAAATCATTCCCCTTTATGACTCAGTGAGGAAGAAGTATAAACACAGCAACCTCCAGTGCAACACTAAAGTCAGTACTCAGAAACACAAAATCCGGTTATTCAACACAGAATGTTATTGTTCTGAGGCAAATCCAGGGTAAAGCCCAAGTGAAAGTCAATATTTAAAAGCAGTGAAACATGCAGTTTTGTAGAGTAATACAATCTACTGAAAGGATCTGTCCTACTTACGGTGTCCACAGTCTCGGAAAAGCATTAACCTCCTCTTGAGTGTACTCATTCAACTTTTTCGGCACTTGGCGAGGCTGTGAAAGTTCTTCTACCAGATTCTTAAGAATTTCATCTGGAATTACCTAATGAATAGAAATATATACAATCAGACTATGTTGATTTGCTGACACGTTATGTCAGATCTGTTCATGTTTTAAAATACTTCAATACACATTACACTGCTGACATTCTTCCAGGCAGTCAAGGATTAAAAACTCGGCCACTGAGAGACACTGACTGATTTTGTTTCCTCAATTTAAATGACATAAATAAACAGTGAATGGTGAAATAACTAGTAAGCAGCTTTATCCCCTGGTGGATCCACCAATTACAAGTGGACATAACATTAAAATTAGGATTGAATCAAGAAAAAATTCTTCTCACATTTACTTTGAATATCAAAACCAGAGTCTGGGCTCAATATATGAAATAAGTATCTATCCATGCCTTTATCCCAATCTACCCCGTGATTCACTCCAGTCCCATTTGCTGGATGAAGTGTCAGTTGAGGGATTTAAGAAAAAAATGGATAGATACTGAGGGAAGTAAAACACATAAAAGGATATAGATATCCTCTTCAATATCTATATGCTTCCTCATCCACAGACATGGGGTCAAGTTCCACATGTATGTGGATGACACCCAATTGTACCTCTCTGCCTCCACTATTGACTCCAGGACCACTGCTGTGCTGACAGAATGTCTGTCAGACATCAAGTCCTGGATGAGAGCTAACTTTCTTCAGTTGAACGTCAACAAGACCGAGGCTCACCTGATTGGCTCCCATCAGCGCCTCCTCACCTCAGGCGCAGACAGCATCACCATCCATGGTTGCCCATTCCACCTCACTGAGCCAGTCTGGAACCTTGGGGTCTTATTTGACCCTCAACTGTCCTTTCTACCCCACATCTGTGCCATGACCCACTCTGCCTTCCCGCACCTCTGCAACATTGCCCGGCTCCGACCCTGTCGCAGGGCGCCAAAACCCTCAAACACGCTTCATTACATCGAGGCTCGATTATACAAACTCACTGCTTGTCGGCGTCCACAACTCCTTCCTCCACAGGCTCCAGATCATTCAGAACTCTGCAGCCCGTGTCCTCTCGCACACTAGGCTCCGCGACCCTATCACCCCCATTCTTGCCCAACCCCACTGGCTTCCCTTCACACAGGGGATACAGTTCAAGATCCTGGTCCTCATCTTCAAAACAGGGATTCTTCCCACTTGATTTTCAATAACTATGCAATCCAAAGCCTAAGGAATCGATGATCCTAACTGGACAAACAGTAGGAAGCTTGCCATAGCGCTCTCAATGGCAAGCGATTCGGTTTTAGTTGGTTATGGATTTCATGCCACATAGCACTTCTTTTGCTGTTTTCCTGACTGAGGCTTTTTCAAACCCATTCTTTTGACTCCAGAGCTCCATTTCTGGGACAAAAGAATAGAGTCTTGTAAAAAACAGTTATGGCTTTAATATTGTAAGTGTCAGAGGCCATATTATAGCCGATATCCAAATAGAACTCAGCGTAAGTGAGCCCAAAATTATAACAGTAAAACTTTTGTTGAAATGAAAGTGATTTGTTTTCGCATAGGGGACTGCATGCAGTGTAGAACAACATGCATTAGCTCTGCTCAAGTAATCTCTCATTTATTTTGGAAGGTGCCCAAAAAGATAGATAAAACAGGCTTCTACTACTGCCTTGATCAAAGTAGTAAAAAAATGCACAAATGAACAAACTTAATTACAAGTTAATTACAAATTAATATAATAATTTATTGTCTGGTTTTCTCTCCTCCTCTCAAGGTAGCTATATGAGCTAGGATGTACAATAAACATGGGCAAAATTGACTGCCAGTCACAGGTACAACTGATGCACACCAGATGTATGGGCTAAGATTGTTCTGTGCAATCCAGTTTCATTCAGCAGCACACTTACTGTGAATTTTGATGCCAGATTCTTGTAATTTTTGCCTTTTGTGCTTCTGAGATAGAAGTGTTTCCGTATACTGGTTCTATTTTATTTTTTCATCCTCCATAATCTAGAATGTTCTTACTACATCATCTGGACTAATCTGTCGGGTTGATAACTGCTTTCTTTCATGTAAACTCAATACTGAATTTTATATGTCCTTGCCGCTTCAAAAAGGCATAGATTGAAATACAGAACATCAGTTGTTAATAATAATACTTGCATTTTGATATGGTGCCTTAAAGCACTTCACAACATTTACTGTAATGTGCAGCGATTATATTTGTCGCAGTCAATTTTGCACAGAGCAAAGATCCACCAACAGTCACTAAGTGAATGAGCAATTTTATCTGGGGGATTGCTGATCACGACATGGAAGAAACTCCCTTCTATTCCCAAGTAGTGCCATGGGATCCTTAGTGGCCATCTGAACAGACAGACTTTTCTTACACTATATCAGCAGCTACATTTAATTAAAAAAAGAATGGATATTATACAAACAGTTACAAACAAAACACCAGAAACAGAAAACATTGAATCTGATATCAGCACTAAACTAGGAAGCAACAAACTGTATTGAAGGGTTTAATTTACTCTATGAAGGTAGAACAGAACTTCAGAAACATCAGTTCTAATACAGTTAAAAAAAAGGCTTTCTTTTCCTTCAATCATGTAACATGATTCCCACCCATTGATAAATGCTGTCTGAGTTCCAGTAGAGTGGTTCTACTAACCACTCATCATCTTACAAAACTGAACTGGTTTACTGGCAAATGTCCTTGGCTGTGTATCATTCACCTTCCGATATCTCTCTTCTCCTGTATAAGGATGTAATGTTCTGGAAGCCAGAACTTGTCTGCCAGTTGTCGTCTATTTAATATTGGATGTCTACCATAATTGTTACAACAATTTGCATTTATATAGCGCTGCTCAAAGCAGGGTAGTGTCCCAGAGAAAAGGAATTTTATTTGAAGGAATGTTCATTTTATGCTCATATTGCAAGATGTATTAACAATCACATGCTTAGACAAGCTGTACTAGAAATCAAACAAGGGCACCCATTATATATATGGTTATAAATGATGGAGTTTGTGATCTGACACACTCAGAAATTGAAAGCACAAATTAAGACCTGAAGCAGACATTTCGAAGGTAAACAACAACAAAACATCATCTTAAATCGTTGCTATTAGAAACAAGGCCTTTTCAACTTGCTAGGGCTTGCAAGTAATTTACGGAGTTTACAGATCAAAAGGAAAGCAACATAACTAATTGTAACTGAGAAATCAGGGAATCTTTGTTCTTGTCAAAGAGATTACTTTTGATTCATCGTATGTTTCTAGCAGCGTCTTTTCTTGAAGGAGGCAGGTCTTCTGTCTTTGAGGTCCTAAGTGCTTTTCATAACTTTTTAAATCCTTTGGATTGCTGCATGGAGACTGGTGACTGAACAAGCTCCTACCTAACCGTTCATCTTTCACTTGCTCCCAATTGTGCAGTTGAATATTTTTTATTTTTATTTTCACTTTGGGCTTATCTTAGTGCAACATAACTGGAGAGGACTGATGTATATGAGTGAGCTCTAATGTTGGGAGGACAGAAACCTCAGAAAGCAAGGCTAGCTGCTAAGTTACATAGTGACAACACTTCTTAATTGACTCCATGTCTGTCCATAAATCAATTTTGAGCAAAAGAGACTGAACAAGTTAAAATAAAATTTTATATATCTACTGATACACAATTTGAGGAGTCTTGTAGCTCAGTGGTTAGAGCACTCGCCTTGCAAGCGAGAGACCTGGGTTCAATTCCCGGCAGGGCGAACCTTGGACAAGTTTCCTTACTCCACACGCCTGATAATAATCCCTCAAGAAAAAAAATGTAATAAAATTGGTTACTTCAATCTACGACTGTTTGTGGGACACTGCTGTGCGCTACTGGCTGTTGTGTTTCGCCCACAAATATGCACTCAATTCACTTTACAGCATATTCTGTGAAGCTCTTTGAGACATCTAGAAAATGTGAAAAGTGCTATATCAAATGCAATTATTATTATTATTACTACTACTACTGTGCACTAACAGCCTAACCAAAACTTGAAGGCAAATGAATCACAAATTAAAAAGTGCAGAATTTTAAACTAGTCTTTTTCTGAATCTAATGTTCTGGCAGTGAGAACTGCTGTCTTCTGTACCGGTTTTCTTCTATTTGAAATTACGTGTCCACCACAATTTGTATTTAAGGAATATTCAGTGTCAGCTCATTGAGATTCATTGAGCTGGTACTGCTTTAAATCAAGGCTCATTTTACTAACTGATCAAAGATCAGCTTACATTTGCCACATCCACACTATAAGTCTGCTTCCACTCATTGCAACCATTTGTTGCTCATGACAGTGAATGTAAATATTAAGGAGCCTTTCATAACTATGCCTGGTGTGAGAAATAGAAATGTCACATTGGTGCTCTTTTCTAAGAGGTTTCTCGTCTGGATTGTGTTTTTTTAGCACACCTTGGGCTTCATCCTGTAGCTCAGTGATTAGAGCACTTGCCTTGCAAGTGAGAGGTTTGGGTTCAATTCCAAGCAGGGCGAAATGTTGGGCAAGTTTCCTTACTCCACACTCCTCTGTTTACCTAGCACTAAGTAGTTGTTAGTCGATTGGCGGATCACTTTTCCGGCGGTAATAATTCCTTAAAAAAAACATTTGGTCACTGAATCCACGACTGTTTGTGAAACACTGCTGTGCGCAATTGGCTGCCTCATCTCGCCCATAAAATATACAGTATATTCTCTAAAGTGCTTTGAGGCGTCTCAAAGATGTGGTAAGGCGCTACATCAAATGCAAGGATTATTATTATTATCCCATATATAATCCATTCGACACTTGACCTGGTATCTTTGATGACACCACTGGATGCAAAAAGGGGAAAAGTGCTCCACTTCGTAAAACAGAATCCCAACAAAATAAATTGAGGCTGTACCAATTAGTTCCTTGAAACATGACTGGATAAATTTCTGGTTGGGAATGGTCTTGGCAGGAATTTCAATAAGGTGCAGATTAGAATCAACAAATACACCAAGAGTCAAAATGTTACTGGGCACTGAGGGAATGGGCTAA